GAAATTTGGTATTAAACATCCAAACCTAAGAATAATTCTGAGGAAAAAAGAGAAATACAAGTTTGGAATACATATTTGAGAGAATAATTGAGAAAACTTTCCTGGCCTTGTTAGAGATCTAGACATCCAAATACAAGAAGCTCAAAGAACACCTGGGATATTGATCACAAAAAATCATTGCCTGGGCATGTAGTCATCAGGTTATCTGAAGTCAAGATGAAAGAAAGAATCATAAGAGCTGTGAGGCAAAAGCATCAGGTGACCTATAAAGGAAAACCTATCAGATTAACAGCATTTTTCTCAGCAGAAACCCTACAATCTAGAAGGGATTGGGGTCCTATCTGTAGCCTCCTTAAACAAAACAATTATCAGCCAAGAATTTTGTATCCAGCTGATAAAAGAAAAACTTCAGTTGAATTAAATTTAAATAAGTTTAATTGGGCAATGAATGATTTGTGAATTGGGTAGCCCTCAGAATCATAGCAGATTCACAGAGACTCCAGGGATGCCTCATTGTCAGAAAAAAATTAAAGACAAAAATGGTAAAAAAATTAAAGACAAAAACTTTATCGTTTTTGTCTTTAATCCTGATGTACAGGAATTGGAAGCAAGGTACAGAAACAGTGAGATTGGTTACAGTTTGGCGTTTCCCTTATTTGAATGCAGTTTGAACATTCAGCAGTCTATGAGTGATTCAAGTATGGCCGCTAGAAACTGGCCAACACTCAGCCGTTGTTACAGATGCATACTATTAAGTTAGGTTTTCAGTTTTGTCTTACTATAAAGCTAGGTTATAGTACATGCACAAGGACTAAAATATATGAGTACAAAGTCCTTCTTAGGCCATATTTAATTTGCTTTAACACAGCAAAACTAAGCATCTTAAATGAAAGGAAGATTCAGTATTTTACGGACAAACAAATACTGAGAGAATTAGCTACTACCAAGTCAGCACTACAAAAACTCTAAAGAGAGCTTTGAATCTTGGAACAAATCCTCAAAATCCACCAAAATAGAGCCTCCTTAAAGTATAAATTACACAGGACCTATAAAACAATAACACAATTTAAAATAAAAACAAGGTATTCAGGCAACAAATAGCATGATGCATAGAATAACATCTCACATCACAATGTTAATGTCGAATTTAAATGGCTTAAAAGCTTCACTTAAAAGATACAGAATGGCAGAGTGCATAAGAATTCACCAATCAAGTATCTGCTGTTTTCAAGAGGCTCATCTGACCCATAAGTTCTCACATAAACTTAAGGTAAATGAGTTCAAAAAGATATTCCATACAAATGGACACCAGAAGCAAGCAGAAATATTCTTATATGAGACAAAACAGATTTGAAAGCAACAACAGTAAAAAAAGGCAGAGAGAGACATTATATTAAAAGACTAGTCCAAAGGGATATATCATAGTGTATATAAAGCTAACACTGGAGCTCTCAAATTTATAAAACAATTACGGCTAGATCTAAGAAGTGAGATAGCAATATAATAATAGCGGAGGACTTCAACACTCCATTGACAGCATTAGGTGGTTTATCAAGACAGAAAGTCAACAAAGAAGTCATGGACTTAAACTATACCCTACCACAAATAGACTTAGCAGATTTTTACAGAACATTGTACCCAACAACTGCAGCATATACATTCTATTCATGAGCACATGAAGATTCTCCAAGATAGACCATGTGATAGGCCACAAAACAAGTCTCAATAACTTTAAGAAAATCAAAATTATATCATGTGCTCTCTCATACCACAGTGGAATCAAGTTGGAAACCAACTCCAAAAGGAATCCTCAAAACTGTGCAAATATATGGAAATTAAATAACCTGCTCCTGAATGATCATTGGGTCAATAATGAAATCAAGATGGAAATTAAAAAATTCTTTGAATTGAATGACAGTAGTGACAAAACCTGTCAAAACCTCTGGGATACAGCAAAAGCAGTGCTAAGAGGAATATTCATAGCATTAAATACCTATATAAATACCAGGATAATGGTATAAAATACCTATTAAATACCAGGATGATGCATGAGTCAATAAAGGTGATACACCACATAAACAGAATTAAAAACAAAAATCACATGATCAGCTCATTAACTTCAGAAAAAGCATTTGATGCAATTCAGCATCACTTCATGATTAAAACCCTCAGCAAAAATTTGCATCGGAGGTACATACATTAAGCTAATAAAAGCCATCTATGACAAACCCACAGCCAACATAATACTGAATGGGAAAAAGCTGAAAGCATTCTTCCTGAGAAGTGGAAGAAGATAAGAATGCCCATTTTCACTACTTCTATTCAACATAGTACTGGAAGTCCTAGCCAGAACAATCAATCAAACAAGGGAAAGAAATAAAGGACATCCAGATCAGTAAAGAGGAAGTCAAACTGTCACTGTTTGCTGATGATATGATTATACACCCAGAAAACCCTAAAGACTCATCCAAAAAGCTCCTAGAACTGGTAAATGAATTCAGCAAAGTTTCAGGTTGCAAAAATAATGTACACAAATCAGTAGCCCTGCTATACACCAACAGCAACGAAGCTGAGAATTAAATCAAGAACTGAACCCCTTTTACAACAGATGCCAAAAACAAACAAACAAAAAATAAACAACAACAACAACAAAAAAAAACCCACACATGCAACTTAAGAATATACTTAACCAAGGAGGTGAAAGACCTCTACAGGGAAAATTACAAAACACTGATGAAAGAAATCATAAATGACACAAACAAACAGAAATACGCTTCATGCTTATGGATGGGTAGAATCAATATTGTGAAAATAACCATACTTCCAAAAGCAATCTACAAATTCAATGCAATTTCCATAAAAAAAAAAACACCATTATTTTTTACAGACCAAGAAAGAACTGTCCTAAAATTAGTACAGAACTAAAACAGAGCCCATATAGCCAAAGCAAGCCTAAGCAAAAGGAATAAATCTGGAGACATTACATTCCCTGACTTCAAACTATACTATAAGGCCATAGTCACCAAAACAGCATAAGACAGGCATAAAAATAGACCAATGAAACAGAATGGAGGACCCAAAATAAAGCCAGATACTTATAGCCAACTGATCTTTGACAAAATAATAACATAAAGTGGGGAAAGGACACTCTATTCAACAAATGATGCTGGAATAATTGGCAATCTATGTGTAGAATAATGAAACTGGATCCTTATCTCTCACCTAATACAGAAATCAACAGTATTACAGTGCTGGTGAGAATGCAAACTGGTACACCCACTATGGAAAACAGTGTGGAGATTCTTTAAAGAACTAAGAGTAGATCTATCATTTGATCCAGCTATCCCACTTGTGTGTATCTACTCAGAGAAAAAGAAGTCTAATATGAAAAAGACACTTGCACATGCATGTTTATAGCAGCACAATTTGTAATTGCAAAAATATGAAACCAGCCCAAATGCCCATCAATCAATTAGTGGGTAAAGAAAATGTGGTATATCTATATTATGAAATACCAAGGAACAAAATAGTGGCATTCACGCAACCTGGATGGAATTGGAGACCATTATTTTAAGTGAAGTAACTCAGGAATGGAAAACTAAACATTGTATGTTCTCACTCATAAGTGGGGGCTAAGCTGTGGGGATGGAAAGGCATAAAGAATAATACAATGGACTTTGGGGACTTTGGGGAAAGGGTGGAGGGGTGAGGGATAAAACACTACAGTGTACACTGCTCAGGTGATGAGTGCACCCAAAGTCTCAGAAATCACCACTAAAGAACTTGTCCTGTAACCAAACACTGTGAATTCCATCAAAACCTATTGAATTTTTTTTTAAAGAGGAAAAAAACCCTCTCTACTTTAACTTCCGCCATTCAGTTTTTAACTTTGTTGTTGTCGTCTTTTGTATCTTATTGTATTGTCCATGTCTTGTAAAGTTGTTGTTTATTATTTTGTATTTGTTCATCAATTAGTCTTTCTATTTGAGAGTAACTTACACAGTACAATTACAATGTTATAGTAGTCTGTGTTTTTCTTTGTGTTATTACCAGTGTGTTTTGTAACTTCAGACGATATTTTTTATTTTTTGTTTTTATTTTATTATTCTTTAAATTCTGGGGTACATGTGCAGACCTTGCAGGATTGTTGCATAGATACACACATGCCATGGTGGTTTGCTGCCTCCATCCCTCCATCACCTACATCAGGCATTTCTCCCAATGTTATCCCTCCCCAACCTTCCCACCCCCTGCTATCCCTCTCCTAGTCCCCCACTTCCCAACAGGCTCCAGTGTGTGATGTTCCGCTCCTGTGTCTATGTGTTTTCATTGTTCAACACCCACTTATGAGTGAGAAATGCGATGTTTGGTTTTCTGTTCTTGTTCCAGTTTGCTGAGAATGATGGTTTCCACATTCATCCATGTCCCTGCAAAGGACATGAACTCATCCTTTTTTATGACTGCATAGTATTCCATGGTGTATATGTGCCACATTTTCTTTTTTCAGTCTATCATTGATGGGCATTTGGGTTGGTTCCAGGTCTTTGCTATTGTGAACAGTGTTGCTATGAACATATGTGTGCATGTGCCTTTATAATAGAGTGATTTATAATCCTTTGGGTATATACCCAGTAATGGGATTGCTGGGTCAAATGGAATTTCTATTTCTGGATCCTTGAGGAATTGCCACACTGTCTTCCACAATGGTTGAACTAATTTACACTCCCACCAACAGTGTAAAAGTGTTCCTATTTCTCCACATCCTCTCCAGCATCTGTTGCCTCCAGATTTTTTAATGATCACCATTCTGTCTAGTGTGAAATGGTATCTCAGTGTGGTTTTCATTTGCATTTCTCTAATGATCAGTGATGATGAGCATTTTTTCATGTTTGTTGGCTGTATAAATGCCTTCTTTTGAAAAGTGTCTGTTCATATCATTCACCCACTTTTTGATGGGGTTGTTTGTTTTTTCTCATAAATCTGCTTTAGTTCTTTATGACCTTTTCTTTCAGATTAAATAACTCCCTTTAGAATTTTTTGTAGGACAGGTATGGTGTTGATGAAATCCCTTGGCTTTTGTTTCTGTAAAAGTCTTTATTTCTCTTTCATGCCTAAAGGATATTTTCACCAGATACACTAGTCTAAGGTAAAAGTTATTTTTGCTTCAGCACTTTGAATACATAATGCCACTCTCTCCTGGTCTGTAAGGTTTTCACCAATAAGTTTTCTGCCAAATGTATTGGAGCTTCATTGTATGTTATTTGTTTCTTTCTATTGCTGTTTTTAGAATTATTTCTTTATCCTTTATCTTTGGGAGTTTCATTTTTAAATGACTTGAAATAATCTTCTTTGGGTTAAATTTGTCTGGTGGTTTATAACCTTCTTGTACTTGAATGCTAATATCTTTCTCTAGGTTTGGGTAGTTCTCTGATATCATCCCTTTGAATAAACTTTCTGCTCTTATCTCTTTCTTTACCACCTTAAGACCAATAAATCTTAGATTTGCATTTTTGAGGCTATTTTCTCAATCTTGTAGGTGTGCTTCATTGTTTTTTACTTTTTCTTTTGTCTCTTCTGACTATATTTCAAATGGCCTGTTTTTAAGCTCACTAACTGATGCATTCTTAAATATGTGCTTTTTTATTTTTCAGCTTTAGAATTTCTGCCTTATTTTCTTTATTTTTAAAATTTAAAAAAAATTATTTATTTTTGAGAGGCAAAGTCTCACTCCACCACTCAGGCTGTAGTGTAGTGGCACGATCATGGCTCATGGCAGCCTTGACCTCCCAGGCTCACGTGATCCTCCCACCTCAGCCCCCTGAGAAGCTGGGATTACTATTCTGTGTTCTCTGTGCTGTCTTGCATTTCTTTGAGTTTTCTCAAAACAGGTATTTTGAATTCTCTGTCTGAGAGGTCACATGTCTTTGTTTCTCCAGAATTGCTCCTTTATGCCATTCTTAGTCTGTGTAGTGAGGTCGTGTTTTCCTGAATGGTCCTGATGCTTGTAAATGTTCATCAGTGTTTGCACGTTGAAGAGTTAGGCATTTATCATAATCTTCACAGGCTGGGCTTGTTTTTGCTTGTCGTTTTTTGGAAGGCTCTCCAGGGGTTCAAAAGGACTTGGGTCTCCATCCCAATAATGTTATGGTTCTTGCAGACTCATAAAGGTATAGCCTTGATTGTCTTGGATAAGATCCAGAAGAAGCCTCTGAATTACCAGGCAGAGACTTTTTTCTTTTTCCTTACTTTCTCCCAAACAAACAGTTTCTTTCTGTGTGCTGAGCCATCTGGAATGGGGCGTGGGGTCACACAAGCACTCCTGTGGCCACCACCACTGGGGCTGGGCTGTTTCTGACCTGAAGCCTGCACAGCATTGGGTCTCACCCAAAGCTTGCTGTAGCCACTACCTGGCTACCACCTATATTCACTCAAGTGCTTAGGGCTCTACAATCAGCAGGTGGTGAAGCTGGCTGGGTTTGTGTCCCTTCACAGTGTTGAGTTCCCCCAGGCCCTGGTCATGCCCAGAGATGCTATCTAGAAGCCAGGGATTAGATTAAAATAATCTTAGAAACTTACCCTATATTCTATTATTCTATGGCTAAGCTGGCACTCAAGCCGCCAAAGTCCTTCCTACTCTTCCCTCCCTTTTAACAGGCAGAGGAGCCTCTTCCTGTGGCCACCACCACCACCACCACAATTGGTCCACAGGGAGTTCTGTCAGGACACTGCCAATGTTCATGTAATCCCCAATGGCTCTGTGATCAGCTTGTGGCAAATTCTGCAAGGCCTGGGGCTCACCCTTCAGGGCAGTGGGCTCCCTTATGGCCCAGGGAAGGTCCAGAATTACTGTCGAAGAGTCTAGGCCTGGAATCAGGGGCCTCAGGAGCCTACTTGGTGCTCTACCCCACTGTGGCTAAGCTGATACCTAAAGTGCAAGACAAAGTGCCCTTTGCTTTCTCCTCTGCCTTTCTCAAACAGAAGTCTCACTGTATCCATCACAGCTGGGAATGTGCTGGGTCACTCTTGACATCAGCATATCTCAGAGCCTGGGGTACATGACGTACTCCCTGGGATATCACTGTTGGTTATTCAGGGTCCAAGGGCTCTTTAGTTATCAGTTGATGAATCTTGCCAGGACTGGGTCCTTCCCTTCAAGGCAGAGGATTCCCTTTTGGCCCATGGTGTGTTTAGGAATCTCATCCAGGATCCAGGGCTAGAATGGGAGCATCTGCCTGGTGCCCTATCCTGTGGCTTAGCTAGTATCCAAGATGCAAGACAATGTCCTCTTTACTCTTTGCTCTCCTGTCCTCAAGCAGAAGAAAGGAGTCGCTTTGGTTGCTGCCAGCTATGCTGACAGGGGTTGGGGCAGGGGTGGTGCAATCACTCCCTTAGCAGCCCTGTTGGATGTCTCTGTAGGTCACATGCTACCCTAAGTTACTCACTCTAAGTGCCAGCACTAGGAGTTGCCTAAGAATTGCAGTCCTTGTGTCCTAGATCGCCTTTCGAGTTTACTTAGGACTCCATAGCACTTTGGCTCATGGTGGTGAAGTCTGCCATAAAACTCAAGTTTCTCCTGCTGGAATGGATGATTCCTGTCTGTCTAGGTCTGATCCAAATGCTCCTTCCATGCATGGGCAGTGGCTGTGTCCAGCATAGCTTCACCCTGTACTGTGACAGGGTCGCTCTGAGTTCAGTGTGATGTCCCCCGGTCATTCCACTCTCCCTCCTCCAAATGCAGAGGCTCTTTGTGCCTCATAGCTGCGGCCTGGGGAGAAGGGAGGGGTGTGTCCATAATTCAGGACTGTCTTCTAACTTCAGTGCCTCTTTCAGTGATATGAAGTTACAGACCAGGTACTGTGTGATTGCTCACCTGATTTTTGGATCTTTTGATGGTGCTTTTTTGTGTGTAGTTAGTTGTTAACATTTGGTCTTCCTGTTGGGGGAATGAAGGATGTAGGTTTCTATTTGGCCATCTTGCTCTGCCCTCTCCAACATATGACAATTTACTCATCCAGGCCTTGACTTTTGGACATTTAACTAGATTCTATTTATACTCTACTACAAATAAATGAACAAACTCACCTCTGCTATGATCACAGCTTTCCTGCCACACTGTTTTCTGACTGTCCCTCAAACACATCAAGTTTGGCTCCTACCTCTGGGACTTTGCACTTACAGTCTCTTCTGCTGAAGCCATCTGCCTCTACATAATACATAGTTTGCTTCTTCATGTCACTCATTCCTTTGTCAAATGTCACCTCCTTCAGGAGGCCTGCCCAGGGCTCCTGTTTCATTCCTTTTTACTATGATTTATTTTCTTTCTAGCATCTATCAATAGTTGACATGATTATGGATTTAACTATGCATTTCTTATCTGTCACTCTCCCTAGAAATTAATTTTCATGAGGACAGGGTTCTTGTCTCTCTTGCTCTACTTTGCTTCCCTGGTACTGTAGAATGTATCTGCTGCAGTAAAAGATGCTCAGCCAACAATGGACACATGAATAGACAATAAAAATGTTCCTGGTATTTTCAAGTTTTTGCTATGATGATTAGAATCACTGTGTTAATAGGTATGAACAATATAAGGCTCTCAACACGTTATGTGCAATTACATTCCAAAAGGGCTTGTACTGGTTTACATTTCCATCAACAACATAGGAAACTACATCTTTCATTTCTCTATACTGACTGGATTTGACTCAATTACAATCAAGATTCTAATATCTTGAGTAAGTAAAATTAGACATGCATTCTCTTCCCTCAGAAGTCTGTCTCGACCAAGATGCTGTTTTGTTTTTCTTTGTCTCATATGACAAATTGTATTTACTGCATCTTGTATTGTTTCTTTTTGCTCCTTCCTCTCCACAAAGGAAATGCTTGGCATTATAATCAGTCTTGAGGAAGAGTTTTCAGTGAAATTAAAATGATAAAATAAACTCTGGTACTAATTTAAACATGAACTTTACAGTCAGGTGGACTGGGGTTCAACTCCTGCCCTGCCCTTCCCTTGAACTCTCTAGGCTTTGAGTTCTGGGTCTGGAAATAGGGCACAATAACACTGCTGCCTACTTTTCAGGGTTGTTATAAGGAATAAATGCAGTAATGTATGATGTCTCATAGCACAATGGCAGGTTGATGGTAAGCCTACAATTAGCCTAAAAACAAAGAAAGAGACACACATTCCAAATAAATTTATTTGGGCCCAGGCCGTTCTCTGATAGTGTTCCAGAGAGTCAGACAATGTGATTTTTCTTTGTTGTAGAGCTGCCAGGAAGGGTAGGAGGCAGTAAGGGAAGAACATTGGAACAGTGACAAATTGATAGGAAACAGGAAGTCAGTGAGGCCTGAGTGTCTCAAAAAAAGGTCTCAAGAACGGACAGAGAAAGGAAATGTAATGTCAGCTGTGGTGCTGAGTAGGTCAGTCTTTTAATAGAGCCATATTCCAGGAAAGAACTTTTCAAGTAAGGAAGTTCCCTGAACCCATGCCCTGAAACATTTCAGTATTATGTTTTGAAAGCAACTTTCTCTTGCTGGTTGTAATAGCTCATGGGGCAGTAACTCCTTTACCAGTTTTGCAATGCTAGTTGCAAACAACAATCATGGTTCCCTGAAAAATAACAATCATGAGTAACATTGATGAAGAACTTGCTCTATGCCTAATGATTATTAAGTATTTTAAATGAATTTGCTCAATTAAGATATTCTTACTGTACATCTAGTATGTCCCAGGTATTGTTCTGAGTGCTAGAAATATAGCAGTGAAAAAAGAGACAATGTCCCTGTCATCAGAGAGTCTACTTCCCAGACGACCAAACATACAACAAGTGCAAATTTGAAAATAAAATTAAAATCATGAAACTTACATAATCATAGAACTCTTTCCATGTTAAAACACACAGGTCAAAAATGTGTTGTATAAAGCCAGACAGGATTCCACTGTATCTATGTATTGTATTTTATTTAACTGTTGTCTTATTGACGAAAAAATATGCGTTGTTTGAGGTTTTTAGTTATCGCTAACAATGTTGCAGTCAACATTCTTTGAAAATATTCCTTCGCCCACTCTTTTGGATATTTATTTTTGCATAACAAATAATCCTATGTATTCCATAAGACGTGA